ACCATAACGTCTCCATCTCTTGCCAGTAAAGAGAAGCCAACAACAGATGTGTGAAAGCTCAATTTTAACTTTTTTTCTTTTTATTTAAAAAAAGATATTTAAAGCTTGCATGCTGTCATAAACACTTGAACAACTTTGATGCATACAGTGTGACTATTTATCCTGAATGATCATCACATCTTAAAGATCTCATCGTCGAAGTAGATTAAATAAAAGTTTGTTTTTTATTGATTATGAATTCTGTTGCTGCAGTCTGAATTTGGTCCTTTTTGTTCCATGATTTCTAACATTTTAAAATATTTTTCATACTTAAATGTTTCAGATCGTCAGTATTGAATAACAGACAAACATAATGTGCGGATTTAAAAAATGTAAATAAATAATGATTTAATGTTTTAAAGGAATTTATTAAAGTGGACCTTAAACACTACATATATTATTCACGAAATAAATCTAAAACAACTGTTGTAGATTTAAGACTGTCTGCGACTTGGTTTAAGCCATACGTGTTTACATTTTTTAGAACGTTAGAAGGTGTTGAGCACCATCTCGTGCCTGTAGAGAACATAACTTCACTGGGTTGGTTGATTGCTGCTAAGAGTTTGTTGCTTAGAGTAGTTTGTTAGTTAACTAGTGACAGAATTGATCATTTAGTGTAAACAAGGAAACTAAAACCAAAAAGCAGTGTAAGGGGTTGCTTTTGTACTGCCCCCTGCTGCAGCGGTTTTTATTTTTAAAAAGGCAAGGATACACTGCCCACTTTCATTCTGTCTCTTTAGCAGTAAGTGGTTTGTATGTTGTGTGTTAGTGTTGGGATTTCATTGTGCTTTGGTAAAAAAAAGATATATTTTGTGATGTGATGCACATGTAGTAACCTGTTATTTTATGTATTGGTTGGATGTGCTGGCACAAGATGGCCCTCAACTGTTATAAATGCTTCAACTTAAACACTTATTTCTTAAATCCAGCTTCACAGACAGTGTTTACGTTTATGTTCTTTTAGAGTAGGGCTCCATGCTGTAATTAGTAGTAGAGATTTAAAATATTCTAGTGTTTTGTGTAGATCTAATATTTGGCAGTAGACTATTCCAGAGTCTGAGACCTGCAACAGAGAGATGTAGCAGGTCCTTTCACAGCGAGATTTAGGTTTCGACCTTGGAATAAATAACATTAGTTTGCATTGTTTGCATGCATTGATAGAAGCTCAGATAGGTAAGAAGGGGCTCGTCTTACCTATCTGTTTAAAAACAAAAACGTAAAATGTTAATTTGGTTCCTGTAACGAATAGGAAGCCAGTGTAAAGAGGCCAACACTGGGTTATATGCTCCCTCCATTTTGTACTAGTCAACAGACAAGCAGTTGCATTTTTGGACCAACTGGAGACGATAAATAGAGGACTGGTCGAAACCAAAGTATGCTGTAGACTCGCCCACTGATATATTCACATTTATAAGGCTGTTCTTGGTTTGCTTGCATGTAATTTATAGACTTCGTCAAAAAAGGTATTGTGTTAGATCCCAAGAGTTCTGTCTCAGAGGTTTGTGCTGAATTTAGAAAAAGACCATTCAAATTTGCAGCTCCTTCCTCTTGTAATCAGCTGCAGAGTAAACAAAAATGTATCGAACTTAATAAATCTAGGGCAATTTTAAATGTCTTGAATGCAGTTAATTCAGGCTGCTAATGTTTTGCCTGAATATTATTATTTGTTTCAATTAGTGTTAAGAAGGTATTCATTCTTTATTGACACTGAAGTTTAAAAATGTTGGTTGCTTCTTTGCTTTGTTTGTTTTGTTTTTTTACTTTCTGCCTGTACTTAACTGGTGTATGGATTTGTGTGTCTGTTTTATTCATTTATGAAACTTATAAACAATGGCTGTGCGTGTTTGGTTTAGGTTGCATGTAGCTACTAATACTAATCATAGTTTGGTGTCCCCAACAGAAACCAGTCCTAAGAATAATCAATTGAATCTGTGCCTTTGACTGACCATTTTTTGTGCAATTGTGTGTCATGTTCAGCAAAACCAGAAAATTATGCTCATGTAGTCACACTAATGAGAAACTTCCAGAGCAGAAAAACCTGTAGATAGCCGAGAAAAATGCATGAAGATCGATCCATATTTTCTGCTCATTCACACACACACACAGACGCACACACACAACCTGAACATAATAGCTGAAAGTTGGACTTGACAGAAATCAACATCACTCCTCCGGCCGTCTGTCTCCCAATCAATATTACCCCTCCTTTTCCCTCCTCTTATTATCAGTACTAATCTATATCTCTTTGTCTCGCTTTCTTTAGAGTCCTATCTCCTTCACTCCCTGTCTTTTCTCTAAATTACATTGAGGACAGTACACTGTTATGGAGGTAACAAATTTAAAATGACCTACATCGGAATTAGAGAGAAAGCAGGCCATCACACCCGAAGGGCAGTCGCTGACAGAAAAGTGGAAGAATGAAAAGAAAAGATGGAAAAAGAGGAGCGTTGATTGGAAGTTGATTGTGGAGATTTCACTTCTCCTGTTTTTTTGTTTTTCTCTTTTCTCTTTTGGACAAAGGCAACAAGAAAATGAGGAGGAGATGAAAAGCACAAATGCCTGAGAGTCCTCATGGGCTTCTCTGCATCCACACAAAAAACAAAATGACAGCGATAATAAAAGTGATCACTAAAGCTTGTCTTGGGCATGAGCCACAGGCGTGGAAACAGCGCCAGTATTCTCAGTGAGCTGTGGTCTTTTGTGGGGCCATGTGTCACGGTCAGAAGCTTCCCATCCTGAAATGTACTCCCACAATAAAGGCAGAGTGGAGAGTGTTAGGCTTTTCATTTGGCAGGGCCATTATCAGAAAGGCCTGAAAGGACTGGAAATGACCCAGGTTTGCTCAGGCTGGGACACCCTGCGCCTCTTCGGCTTCTTTTATTTTTTTTCCATTTTCTGTTGATTCTTTCATCACTGACCCCAAAGCCTCATTATCGCCTGCAGCTTCAGGCAGTGCACATCCAAAGTGAACTGTCAGGGCTGCTGCATAAAAATGACTTCATTACTAGCTTTTCCAGAATGTACTCATATGAAAATCTTGTAATGTTTTTTTTCTCTTTTATCATTAATAAAACTCAGGAACACACCCAAGTTAATGAAATAATCAGTTTAAATAATATGTATTGTGTGCATTTTTATTAAAATAATTTTTTTAGTTTTATAGCTGGACTTTGTCCCACATTTGTTGCACTTTGTTTTGACAGTCACATACACACCTGCCACCCCAAAATACTCATAAGAAGAAATAAAAACTGCAATTTGCTTGATTTTTCCCATGTTGTGCATCTTTACATTCTGCAGTCTTGAATGCAGTCACTTTTCTTTTGCAGTACACACATTAGGACTTTAGCATGTCTGATACCAAGACCTGAGACAAGACATGAATAGATCCATGGTATTGTATCAAACTTTCCATATTTTTAGTAAAAAAATAAATAAATATATATATATATATATTTTTTTTCCTATCAATCACCCCTTAAACCCCTTTTTTCTAATATTTTTTTCTGTTTAACATGTTTCTCATGTATGACTGTGTTTGGAAACTGCAGTATTCATTTAACCTTAGTAATTCCACAAAGTGCTTCTCATTGTCTGTCTTGTCCATCCATCCATCGTATGTCTATGGCAACAGTACTGCCAATGATGGGATAAAAGGATGAATCGGTGATTTGTCTTGTGCATACTGACCTGTTATTAGTTTGACCTGTAATCAAACTAATAACACTGTCATTTGTAGCAATCCCCTTTACCACCTGAGCTGTAGCTTTTTAAATATTTACATATTATTATAAAAGTGACTGACACGTTTTTATTTATAGTGGATTGCTCTCATTGGCATGTTCTTATTGCCATGGTTTAAGTATTTTCCAGCACTTACCGATGGTCATTAACACGGGTAAATGACTGAAATTATATGACTGTGGATACAAGTGGTTGAATTGAGCAGCAACTGTGCTCAGACTTGGAGAAGGGATGAGGAACTCAGACATGAGGTGGTTCGGCTCTTCCTGGGCGCCTCTACTTCAATGTTTTTAGGATGGGCTCATTTCTAAACTCTGGGAAGAAACCCTCAGAATGGACCGGAGAGATTTTAGTATATCCAGCCTGAAAACACCTTGGGACTGGGACTCTGCAGATGTCCCAGTCTTTCTGTCTCCTGTAAACTCAAACATACAGATGTAACGGTACCAAACCTTGACCCAGTGATTTTGCAAACTCCATTTTCTCAATCATATGACTTGACCCAGTGATGACACAAGATTGAGCATGATTGAGCATGATTGCACAAACTCATTGCTATTGATGTTATTTCAGTTTATGTCCTACTGGCTTATATACAATTAAGATCAACGATTTGACTGAACACATACACTATTGTCAGAAGTCGAAGTCTCTTGTTATTGCCTCCTCAAAGTTTCTTAAGTCAGTCTCATTTGTCCCATCAGCTGTTGAGCAACTCACATTTTGTCATCAGTAAAACATGGCACATTGCACAATGTTTGAATGTAGACATGAAGCCTGATCTGCTGTTTTAATAACTGATTTATTGCTATTTTCCTGTCTGTGTTTTTTTTCTACCCTACTTTCAAGTGTTTAATGATCACCTCATGTTTCCTGAGTCAGTTGTTAAATGGCTCTTTGTGGGTAGTGTTGGGACATCTACTTTAATTATTCTAACTAATCTTTAGAGAAATATCCCATAGATTTATATTCAGGATTGCAACATCTCTCATATCTTTATCACTAATTGTTTCAATTGTTGTTGAGTTTCAGACCAAAGAGCACGTTTCCCTAACCTCATCCAGACTCCGCTGCTCTGGAAAAAAAAAACACTATAGTAGCATAGTATGGATTTTACAGTTCACATCTAGTTATCGAGTTCAATTTTTTTAAACTCTTGGCAAGGTTGTGCACATCTAAGTGTCGTTCCTTCATCCACCTCTGTGTTTTCTTTTCAGGTCTTGATCCATCTCAGCGTCAGGCAGTGGAAAAGTTGATCTCAGCGTCTCCGTGTCAGTTCGACCACGCTGCCCTGTTCACCATTTTACAGAAACACACACTCCAGCATCGAATGAACGACTCCTTCTCCTGCCTGGTATGTGAACAAGAACCTTTTCATCATTCGTCTTCATTGACTATCCACAATACTGCTCATTCATCACACAAACTTTCTTCTATCATCTATACCAAAATACGTAAGCTGCTTAAAATCCTCATGAAACAGAGCAGTTAAAGAAGAACTTGCAGTGAGCTTGTAATGGTATTGCTAAAACAAGTTGTTTAATTAAAGTTTATGAATCACCAAAAAAATAACCAACAAGTACTTTAATACGTAGATAATATTTGTCTACATACAGTACATTTTACCTTCAGGGTTCTCAGTCTATAATGATGGCTTGACTGTGCAACCAAAACAATAAGAGCATTGTTTTTGGTTTCTGGTACTGCCAGTAAATTTACCCGGGTAGCAGAAAAAAGTGGACGCTACAAAACAGAAAGGTTCCCACTGGTGAAGTGTGAGAATAATAGAAAGACAAAAGTAAAACAACACACTGATGCAAAGAGCTCCAAATGTTGTTAATGTTTTTAAAAAGGCATTCAGTTGGAATCATTTCTAAAAAAAAACAAAACAACTAGTAAGTAACATCAAATACTTATTAGACTAAAACGAATGGATGGTAAAATGCATGGTGTTCACAATAAATTATTAATTACTGCCATACATTCTTTATAGAAATATCTACACACACTCTGATCACAACCAGACTTTCAACGATTGGATAAATTGATGACTTTTAAATAAAATTCAACTTCTTTTGTAAATCATGTAGATGTATAGCTACTGTGACTTTCTAAAATATATTTTAAAAAAGCACACCTGTCCAAAAAGTTTTTTTTTTTTTTTTTTTAATTACATCAGAATATTTTCATGAGCTAATAATTTCTATACTGTGGCAGGCTGTCCAGAGTGTACAGCGCCTTATGGATGAGCAGAAGAAATGAATAGTTGGATGGATTAATGTGTGTGTGTGGAAAAATTACAACATATATAAACATTTTCTGCATCTAGTAACATTTTTTTGTCTGTTTTTATAGCTAGGATACAGTTAGATATTTAATATAGTTATAATTTATAGCTTTGTGTCTGTACATGTAGTATATGTGTAAATAATCAAATCAGTCTATTCATTAACCGACCAAAGATTATTCAACAACTACTTTTAATGTTGTTTAATGCTTTAACCGGTTAATCCCTGGAGTTTTTACTCACAACATGATCCCCAAATTCACTCACCTCGCCAATTGTGAGGCCAAAATGAATAACACACTATTTGAACAAAAGATAAAAAGATAAACTTAATATATTTTTTCTTCTCCTTAACAAAAGATAAAATAAGAATTAAAAGCTTTTTAACAATGAATCGGTACGCACTGATGTCACTGAACTTCATTTTAGCACTAGACAAGCCGTTCAGCTAATTTGTCATGCTCGGTGACCTTCAAATAATGGTGACGGGTTGCATTTTAACAACAGATGCAGCCTGGCCCCAGTCCAGGGACCTCCTAGGTGGAAATAGTCATCTTTTCAATCGTGAATAATTTGTGATGCCTTCAGTTGTGCTTAAATGTCTGCTGGTTTTGGATTAGTGCTCCAACAAAATAAGAATTTTTTAAATCGTAAATATAATTTTAATTTAGGTTCTGCTGTTTTCTATCCAAATTATTGTTGAAGCACTGCATATTTAAAAAATGAATGAAAACAAAAATAACTAAAACTTTTCAGAACAGTTTGAAGAATGAAAGAGATGTAGGAGCTCAGTGCGTGTGTGTGTATTCAGCCTGGGGCGCTCTCTCACACTGATTAAGGGGATAAGCACTCTAATCAATACTTTCCAAATAGGAACATGACCCTCATGGACAACTGCTGTTCTGAGTCAATGGAGGAGGAGGAAGCAGTGAAGTGAAGCCTAAATAAGCGAGTCCATATGTGTATGTGATTTTTTTTGTTGTTGTTGTTGTTTTTTTGTTTTTTATAGTGTGTGCAGTTGTGGTTGGGAAGCATTGATCCAAATCCCCAAAGTGTTGTTCATTAACAAAATATACCAATGGCAGTTTTCATTAAAGAAAAAAAGGAATCAATCTTTTAATATCTTTTTTATTAGTAAAAGTAATTGAAGTGATTTTCTTTTTCTTTTATTTTTAAAGGTTATTTATAACATTTTAAGTTCGAAATTACATCAAATCACCCAAGATAAAAGGACAAAGGACAGAGAAAAGAAAACAACAGCAACAACAACACTGGTTAGTCAGTCCATATTAAAAGTACAAGAGAAATAATGGAGTCCGAACAAAATGGTCTTCTGTGTGAAGTTAGACAGGGCAACAGAAAGTTCAGAGTCTAAAAGATGTGGGGAACAAGTCCAAGAAGGAGTTAGGGTCCGGCAGAGGTGTAGTTTCACATAAACATAAAGTGCAGGTGAATGGGTTAAACATTGTTGATTCTATGTTAATATGATTGAGAAAAGAGTTCCAGATTTTAAAAAATTTAAAGTGAGTGTTAGCAAGACCATAACGAACCTCTACAATATACAGAAATGCAATCATCTCACATAGCCAAACCCTAAGGGTTAGCACTGCAAGTATACCCTCTGGCTTTAATTTTAAGTCATAAATCCAGCTATATATATTAAATATCTCTTCCCAGAAACACCTAAGTGTAGGGCAAGACCAGAAAAGGTGGCCAAGAGTTCCTTCCATTGCTTTGCATTTATCACACAATGAGGAAATAAATGTATGTAGGTGCCGTAAGTTTAAAAAGTGCAGTAAACTGGCTGACTAGGTGCTTGTAGAAGTTTTAATCAAATAATCATAAAAGTCATTATGAGCAGGAGGCTGATCCAGATGGGAGAAAGAGTGTTTAACCAAACATTCAAGTGATTTTCAAACAAGGGAACGATCACCGGGAACCAAATTGCCTGCTCTATGTGCAGTATTTTTTTGTTGAGGAAAATAAGCTCTCAGTTATTGGAGCTTAATATTTTATTCACATAAATATGTGAATGTGCTTGGAGAATATGATAGCCTGTGCAAAGAGACATGATAACTTCATATTATTTATGACAACTTCCTTCTATCCTTTAAAATTCACAGAATTATCATTGAATGAAGATACCCTAAACTTTAAAACTGGTCAAGTCTAGCCATGTTGTCTCTCCAGGAGTGACATTAACATCCCTTGATGTCTTCAGCTCATACACATTTCAAAGTATGAAAACGCATTTACACTTGAAATTAGGCCAGAAATGACTAATACTGATGAAAAGTGCAGTTGAGTAATACTTCCTAGTTTGAAAGTTTCAGACCTCAAAAGACTGCATCACAATTTCTTGTAAAATTCCACTGTAAAATTGCTTTTAAATAGCCTTTTAAAACCTGCTCCCATATCTACTCTTGCAAAATATACATATAAATATTTAAGATAAGATAAGTCCTTTGAGTTAATGACTGGCGTTGGGACATGGTGGTGGTCCAGGGTGTTGTCATTGCGGGCCCTGGATCCTATTTTTTTTGCAGTGAGGTCTGTGGAATAGGGGTCCTTACTGAGTCAGTTGTTAGCATGGTTCTCTCCTTCTGAGGGTACTCCTTTACCTCCCGGTCATATGTATCCCAACCCTCCCCGCTACTCCCTTAAACAACACACCACTCCCAGACATAGGGTCTGCATGGACCACAGTGGTTTGGGCCATTTATATGAATTTGCTGGATGTGCTGTGCGATGACCTGCCCCTGGTTTTTAATTACATTGTAGTCAATGACCAACAGTCAGGTGCTCATGTCACATCTATTCCATCAGTTTTAATAGCACTCTAGTTTACACAAAGTTATACCCATCTTTTTCACTTTGTACACATACAGTGGTACGAAAAAGTGTTCGTCCCTTCCACAGTTCCAAGACAAAAACCATTGCTAAGCAAAAGGAACATAAAGGTTCGCCTCAGTTCCTCCAGAAAGCAGCTTGATGATCCCAAAGACCTTTGGGAAAATACTCGGTGGACTGACGAGACAAAAGTTTAACTTTTTAGAATGTGTGTCCCCAATTACATCTGGCATAAAACTAACACAGCATTTTAAAAAAAAGGAACATTATACCGACAGTAACATATGGTGGTGGTAGTATGAGGCTGGTCTGGGGCTGTTTTGCTCAGGACCTAGAAGACTTGCTGTGGTAAATGGAACCATGAATTCTTCTGTCTACAAAAACATCCTGAAGGAGAATGTCCGGCCTGCTGTTTGTGACCTCAAGCTGAAGTGCAGGAGCAGGACAATGATCCAAAATGCACCAGCAGGTCCTCCTCCAAATGGTTTAAGAACAATGTTGGAGTGGCCTAGGCAAAGTCCTGACCTGAATATGATTGAGATGCTGTGGCATGACCTTACAAAGGTGGTTCATGCTTGAAAACCCTCCAATGTAGCTGAATTACAACAACTCTGCAAAGATGAATGAGTCAAAATTCCTCCACAGAGATTCATTGCTAGTTATCATAAGACCTTCATTACAGTTGTTGCTTCTAATGGTGGCCGAACCAATTATTAGCTGTAGGAGGCAATCACTTTTTCACTCAGAGCCATATAAGTTTGGATTTTTTTCCTCCTTAATCATAAACACCTTAATTTAGAAACTGCATTTTGTGTTTTGTGTTAGCGTAATCTAATATTTACATTTTTGCTGATCTGAAAGTGTGACAAACATACAAAAATATAGGAAATCAGGAAGGGGGCAAACACTTTTTCACACTACCGTACACCAACATACGCACCAATATATCACTTCCAACTTTGACGAGTGGGAAGGGGAGTGGGCGGGTGTTCCTGCACCCTGCCAGGGCAGTGGTTGCCTGGTGGCTCGAGGGCCAGGCTGGCCGCGTCCCAGGGTCGCTGTTCGTTTAGTGGCGCAGTTCTCTGGCACCTGGGGATTGCTGTTGGCTTATGACGGAATGGCTGGGCTGTTCCAGAGTAGACTGCCTGTTGCCGCTGGTTCTCTGGAGCTGTTGTCTTTTGGTCGTGAGGGCTCCATCTGGAGCCTCCCTCCTCCTT